CACTCAATCCCTTCATCCAGATCATTGATAAAGATATTAAAGATATTAAAATAACATGTTAAGTCTGGAACCCAGAAGGACAGTACTAGTGAGTGTATCTGGGTGTGCTTGGTGTAGGTATGTGAGGCTTGTTCTTGCTGGAACCAGCTCTAGAGGATTGGGGTTGGCAGGCTGCCCCCAGCCTGTGGGAGAGGTCAATTTAGACACAACCTCATTGGTTCTACCAACCAGAAAAGGTGTTGAGACATCTCCAGAAGTGACGTAGATGGCTTATTTATGTGTACACCCCATTTTCAGATATATTACACATTTGTGCCTGTTTTTTGCACTGGATTTCTTACTCCAGTCAGTCCAGGGTAAAATTAAACTAACAGTCAATGAGCATTAGCCCATCAGGCCATGGGTGTACCAGCTTAGAGGAAGACTGCTGGATACAGTCGGTTCCCAGTCCTGTATAAAAATCTCTTGCAAGCATGTCACAGCTTCTGAGAGCCGAGGCAGCAACCCTCAACGTGGTAGACATGGCCTCTTTCTTTTTAATTTCTAAAACTCTGTCCTGACCCCCTGCCTGATCAGACCACTTGTCTGCATGAATAAGGAACAAACCTTGCTGCCCTTCTATGTTTTGAGCCTGATTTCCCACCCATGGAGGTAGGACTGACTGATTGTCAAAGGGCATTATGTCTGTGGGTGACAAACCCTCCCCATTTCCCCTGTGCAACTCCACAGCTAGGAATACACAAGTTGTTGGCCCTGGGCGGTAGAAATGAAGTCTGACTCCAGCCTGGAATTTCAAGCTGTCAGCTACAGAAGGGTAGAAATGGAGGTTTGATCTCCCAGACCAGAAATTAAAGTTTTGTTGGGAGATGGGGGTGTTAATTCCAATGATGTAAAAGAATGTAAAAGATATATATTTTCCAGATAGCTTGATATATGCCCTGGGACACTCTCCTTTGTAAAGTGTTGTAGTTGCCAACTTCATTCAGGTTACTTCTTGGCCATTCTTCACCTAACTCCTGTATTCTTAGTCTGGAAATCTCAAGACACAGTGCATGTTCCTATTATCTATTATCATGTTTCCATTGCTTAAATATGGGAGGGAGAATTGTTTCAAACCTTTGTTTTCCTTCATGAAAATGATGTAACAATTGCATATCCTGTAGTTTCAGATCCTGCCATTATTCCCTCAATCAATTTAACCAATAATAATAGGCCTATTTTTAGGCATAACTGTCTATGACTATGATTAAGGTTGTCAGAATCCAGTGGTTACAAATTTATTAATTTCATGTATCATGCTTAACAGTCAAGTCTAATCTTCCTTTTAACATAATATTTACAGGTTATAATGACTGGCGAGAATTCTGTGGCTTACCAAAACTGGAAACTCAAACTGACCTGAATACAGTAATAACCAATCACAATGTCACTGAAAAAATCATGGAATTGTACCATAATCCTAGCAATATTGATGTTTGGCTTGGTGGTCTCGTAGAAGACTTTCTTCCAGGGGCTAGAACCGGTCCCCTGTTTGCGTGTATAATTGGAAAGCAAATGAAAGCACTAAGGGATGGTGATCGGTGAGTTTATTCATGCTGTTGAATCACTTGTGTAATATGCAGAAGCAATGGAGATTTTACAGATATGTGAGGATACTTCCCAGAACATAAGACAACATGATACTTAAACAGGCTTTAAACAAATTGTTCCCTGCCTCTCCCAAGTTTTCAATTTTGCTTCTTCAGTTTTGTTGGGTGAGCTTTTGCTTATGCTTCTTTGGTCTGGATATAATTTCAATTCCAGATGACATGAAGATTATTTCTGTGGTATTGAGATGCCCAAGTTTGCACTCCTGGTGGAAGTACAAGGTGTCACCAGCACTTAATTGTGCCAGGGGCAGCTAACTTCTGTGTGGACAGATGTAGTACTGTGCAGTCTTTAGCTATCTGGTCCCTGAGGGCTGCACTGGGTCCTTAACTGGAAGAAACTCAACATTTTCCATGGCAACCACAGCAAAGTCAGAAGGGACAGGCAGAGAGCTGTAATTCAGGCTTCCTAGAGGGGATAGTAAAAACACCATGTACCTAGTCCTATGTGAACTGGGACTTCAGAGTGCTCCCAGAATTGCCTCATCGGACACAGCATAGCACGTCCCTTCACCCAACCCTGCACAACCTCCACCAGGATCTTGTGCCTGTTCAACCCTCCACACCAGGAAGGCAGGAGAAATGTAGCTTCAGGTCACAAAGGGGTTCAAGATGCAGTTTATATCTTGTTTCTGCTCCTGAAGCAATTATAAAACCAACCTTTTTTCCATTTCCGTCATGTACTTGTAGCAGTAATTTTGAATCTCATGAGAAGAATAATTTTAAACTGCTCACACCGTGCTAGCAGTGGTGTTTTAAGTACATCTGGTCCTTACACTCACCTTTAAGCTCCTCTCATAAGTTACTGTTGTGGAAAGAAACCATTATGTAAATAAGCATCAGAGGCAGAATTTAAATCTGAACTTTAAAAAATGTTAATTAATTAGTTCACAGGAAAAAGTGATGTTAGTAATAAAGGTGGTATCGTATTAGGACAAACCATATAAACAACAAACATTCCACTCAACTATGTTAAAAATGTCATTGAAAGTCATCTGAATCTTACATGCATACTTGACCCTATCTGGGGAAGGGTAATCGAGGCCCTTCCAGCCTTGTTTCCATTATTCAGTGCCTTATGATACTACTAGCATTAATTAAACTTAAGCATGATTTAACGTTACCTTCAAATTGAGAAAAAGAGAGTTCTAATAATAAAGGAATTCCCCTAGTTTCTGCCACAAAGTTTGTGTCAGCTAACTTAAATGTGAAAAGGTATTGTCATTAATAGCATGATAAAGAACTATCTAAGAGAAGTTAGAAGTGCTTAAAAATGTTATAATTGTCACACAGTAAATATAAGAATGGAAAAGTCTAACATTCATTGCAGTGCCTTGTCAGATAGACTATTGGATATTATCTATATCTGCACTAGTAACATTACATGCTTACTAGATGCCCTAATTGTAAGATACTGTAAGTAGGGACTTCAAAACATCTCTTCTAACGTACTCATTTAAGTTCAGAAATCAGGACTACGTGGAATTTTTGACTGATTGAACTCCATCCTGATAGCCTTAAAATCTTTTGTCGGTAATCTGACAAAACATGAAGGGATTTCTTTTTCCAATGTCCTAAACTCAGGCACTGTCTTAACCTCAGCCAAATCGCCTGGAACAAATTGTTTCTATTCCATCAGCCTTGACTTTCTTTTTTGTCTCTGAATGTTTTTGTGATCTCAGGATTTGCACTAGTTGGGCAAAAATTCTGAATCTGACTTTGTCATTCTTTGCGTAGGAGGACTTGTGACTCTTTTTTTTTTTACTCTAACCCTGTAAAATTCACCGGTAAAAATTTGGTCACCTGATACAGATCTGTTGGAGCAACCTTCATTAGAATTAACAAGTACCTGCTGGGTATATTAAAAAATGATTTTGTGCTCAAGCCTTCTCAGCAGTGTAGATAAAACTGAATTTTGTGACAAAAGTAGAATAGGTTTTAATGTATATGAAAGGGGAAATGACAGGTGTAGAAGAACTGAGTGGAGCAAAGTTTCTGATGGCTTCAGTTATGGGAAGGGGCCTGGGAACCATCAGTGAGGTTTCAGTATGCTCTGAGAAGTTTGGTGACGGTTTGAAGGTGAAGGGTTAGGAGGAAGGCAGTTTTCTTTTTTTCTCTCTCCAGCCCCTCCATCTCTCCTGCACTTGTCACAGTGCTGCTGAGGTGTGGGACATTCACTCCATCCCTGCTCCTGCAGATTGCCTCCTGCTCCAATACAGGCAAAAAGTGGGACAGGTTTCTCCCCAGATTGTCCTGCTGTAGGTAACTATTTGCTCATAAAGTCAGTTTTGCAAAATTTCACATGCACTTTCCTTGCTTAACCAGTACAGTCCTATTGGCAGCAGGGTCCAATTTGCCCTGAAAAGCCCCCCCAGGGCACACTAGCAGCCCTCAATGTTGCCCAGAACACAAACAGGACTATCAGACTTCTCATCTGCATGGTACCATTTCAGGGGGCTCATAAAAAACCTAACATGCTGCCCACATGCCAGGTTTCCACAGGGTCCACAGTCAACATTGCTGTTCCCTTCCGATCAGAAAAATGTAAACACAAAACCCACAGACTTTTCTAGAAACCCCAGCCTTGTTCCCCCAGTATTATGGATGCCCAAGTCCTTTGACAAACTTGAGGTTAATTTGTACAGTGTGATCACATCCATACTCAACTGCTAATCATCCTAGGACATGTTAGCACAAATCCTGCCTATTTGGGAAATTTGGGAAAATCCTAATTGGCCTGAGTACCACAGGGAACTATCTTAGTAGCTTAGCAGTGCTTAACACTGTTTAATGTACTAATGCAGATGTGCTATTTAAACTCTCCAGAAATTTTTTTTTTTGCCATTCATGATATGTTTTTATGCGCAAAATGTTTATCTTTTTTCCTCAGTGTTTTCTTTCCCTTTCTTTTTATCTTTAAACACATATGTATGTGTGTATGCACACACATAAATTATGTAAAATATATATCATTTCATAGATACACCTTTGTAGCACCAACTGGTTCTTCTGTTCTGCCACCACACTCCTGATCCGACAAAATAGAAAAAGCAGCTTCTCTCTGTTCCAGCCAGTCCTCTTAGCTTAGCTTTTTGTATGGTCAAAAGCACAATTGGTGTCTTACAATTTCCTACTATAATTAATCTGCATATCTACAGCTTTCTTAGCAAATAAAGAACTCCATATTAAACAGAAGAGCATTCAGCAATACCTGTTTTCATAGCAACCATTCAGTAATGGCAAGCAGAATTCAAAAGCTATGGTATGGGGAAGTCTATTATGGCTGCCTCTGTCATTCTCCTGTAATTTATGCTTAAAACAAGTTATGAGTGCTCAGTGAATGCTGGTGTGCATAAGATTAAGCATCCAATTCAAAAAAATTAGTTCCAAGTTTTTCTCTCAAGATTGTAACTTTTTTTGTGGTTGTGTATCATCAATGAAAAGCAATTCTGTAAATGTGAATAATTAATAGTTTTAACCAGCTGACTTTAACACATGATCTGAGTTGACCAGTGCGTCAGACTCACACTAGCCTTTTTGTGACTTTCAAGCTGGGCATGTAAGTCTGCAGGTCATGGTGTTTACTTTTATTACTGTCGTATCCACCTACACTTTGCTGTAACTCTTATTTTTGGTCTTTTACACAGGGTACTGTGAAAGTAAAAATAATCAGCTCTTTGAATTTGATCTTTTCAAAATGTTCCTATCAATCTTTCCAGATTTTGGTGGGAAAATGATAATGTTTTCACAGAAGCTCAAAAGCATGAACTCAAAAAACACTCGTTGTCCCGCGTGATTTGTGACAATACAGGGATTTCTGAAGTTCCAGCAGACGCCTTTCAACTTGGAAAATTTCCACAGGATTTTAAGCATTGTAACAATATACCTGGGATTAATTTAGAAGCTTGGCAAGAATTCTATCAGGAAGGTAATCTTTTTTTTACCAGTCTTTTCTGATGGGAGGGGAGAGTAATCAGCAGTTAGAGCACCGACCTTAGTTGTGGCGGGTCTTGAGTTACTGGTCTGTTGCAGATCTTTAATATTTCTACCACTTCAAAATGGGATCTAAGTCTTTCTCTCCTTCTTTCTCAACTTCCTCTGTAAAAATGATAGTGTTTGAAGTTATCAGCTTCACTCTGATAACATGAATGGCTTGTGATATATTCAGACATTATGGCGGTTGGAGTAGGAGTTCTCAGACAGGTAGCAAATATTAACTAAGAACTCTGCAGAACATACTGTTAGAAGATAATGCTAATTTTACAAGGATTATAAGTCAAACCTGAGGTATTCCATATAAATTCTTGTCCAGAAATTAACAATTAAATTCTTGAACACCTTAAAACATGAGTAATTTCACCAAAGTTAATTTATAGCAGTAATGAAGAATAATGTCCATTTTCAAGGGTAAGGTGGTAATTTTTTAACACCTTGTAATACGGTCTTTTTATTTGTAGAAGAAATATGTGGAACACCAAAGAGTGTGGCAAATGGTGATTTTGTATACTGTTCAGAACTAGGAAAATCTACAGTGACTTATTCATGTCAATATGGATTTCAATTACAAGGAGAAGAGCAATTAACCTGCACAAGTAAAGGATGGAACTTTGAGGCTCCCGTTTGTATAGGTATCTATTTTTTTTGTTGTTGTTTCTGAATTTTCTAAAAGCTGAAGTCCAGCACAGCTGATAGAAGTGAACTCCCTCCTATGCTGTCTTGTAGTCAAACTTCTGGGTTTGTAGGTACAATAACATGATAATGTGAAATAATAACTATCTCAATCTCTACCCATCCTGATTCAGCAATCAGGTTGATGATAGGAAAATGCCACTAAAAATTACCTAATTAAGCAAAAATGAGTCAATTAACAACCAGCAGGAAAAAAAGCAGCAAATCAGAATTATACATTACTTCTTCCAACATTCAACATAACAGCAAGACAAACAGTTGTCATTTTCCTAGCATTGCTTCAATGGATGCCCTACATACAAAATGAGCTCAGCACCAATAGTTCATGTATCATCCTAATCAGTTAAGCAAAAGTGTGTCCTGGTTGCAGCTGGGCTAGAGTTAATTTTCTTCCTAGTAGCTGGTATAGTGCTGTGGTTTGGATTTAGTAGGAGAAGAATGTTGATAACACACTGATGGTTTAGTTGTTGCTAAGTACTGCGTATGCTAGGCAAGGACTTTTCATCTTCCCATGCTCTGCCAGGTGCACAAGAAGCTGGGAGGGGGCACAGCCAGGACAGCTGATCCAAACTGGCCAAAGTGTTATTCCATACCATATGATGTCGTACTCCGTATATAAACTGGGGAGAGTTGGCCAGCGGGCAGCGATCGCTGCTCAGGAACTGTCTGGGTATCAGTCAGT